TACTCAGCAACAGTGTGGGAGTGCTCAAAGAGCACCTTCTCCATCAACCAGATCCACCTCATCAGATCTGGTGAATTACAACTCTGACTCGGACTCACATGCAGAATCTGTGGAACCTGTCTTGATATCCCCAGATGACATTGTCTCCTCCCAAGGTCGAGGATCTCCAAGGGAAAGCCTTGGGTTCTGAACAAGTCTCTGGATGGCCACAGGCCTAGGTGTCCACATCCAGCAAGCTACAGAGCCTGACCAAGACCATAGATCAGGATGGAGGACTCAGTCCTGGTAGTGATAGTATTAAATCCTGTGCTGTCTAAGGCAATGAAAGAACCCTAAGAGCTTTCTAACCAGCCACACCCCACTTCCCGCCACTTGGAAGGATTTATGTGGCACAGGAAAGAGACATTCCCTACCTTTTGCACTATCCGTGCCTGAATTCCATGATTGTCAAGTTCACCCAAGGATGACTGCCCAGAGAGCACTCTGCACCAACTGACAGGTTGCTGTTTACATGTGATGGCGTGATGGATATATTCTACAACGGGCCTGGGCCTCTGCATCTTGAACTATGAAGCTGTGATTGGGAGGTACCACGTCTTCTTGTGTCAAAACATGAAGACTCCGGTGGCTTTTCTACCAGTTCAACAAGAGTGTTCCTCACGGAGGGTATTCAGCTCTCCAAACAACAGATTGCAACAGCACGCCATCACTTCAATTGTGATTCCAGAGCATTAGTCGGTGTGGTCAGGGTTCAACAACATTTATGGCTTCAGGTGGCTAACTTCCCTCAAGAGATGCATTCCCAGATCAAGAGCATGCCATTTGATAGAGAAGGCCTCTTTCACACCTGCACAGATGAGAGATTAGACATGTTCCAGAAGGCTACAGCAACAGCTCAGCGTATGGGCATCAGCCCATTTCAACCGAGGGCATGTAAGTGGCCATGGACCCATCTCTTGTAATACCAGCACTACCACACCAGACAACAAGGTCCTTACTCTGGCTGTCCTCAATATGGACAGCAACCACCAAACTGCCAATGCCATCGGGACAGTGCCCAACTCCAGTAAGGCAGGAAATGGCCTGCCTTTGACAAAAAACAGTACTGAGAGGCAGCATAAACCAGTCCCTTAACTAGCAGCCCACCCCTTTTGGGAACTGTCTAAGTCACCATCTTCCCACCTGGGAATCCATCACACCTGACCGGTGAGTACTTTCTATAATATAGCATGGATACAGAATCAAATGACAAAGCTTGCCTCTTCTAGGAATGGTCCACATCACTCCTTCCTCTCCAACCCTAATGGAGGAAGTCAACAATTTACTAGCAAAGGGTGCAATCTGACCAGTGCACCAATCCGAAGTGCAGCACATTCATGCTATTTCACTGTTCCAAAAAAAGATGGCAGTCAGCAGCCCAGTTTGGACTTGCAGTGAGTAAACCATTTCATCCCACTCAAAAACTTCCAAATGGTCTCCCTGCAAGGCATTATGCCACAGTTGCGAAAAGGGGACTGGTTCACATTCATCTATTTAAAGGATGCATACTTTCATAGCAGTATCCATCCCGACTACACCCACTTTCTGCTGTTCCAGATCAGTACCAGATGCTACAGTTCGGTCTCTCTACAACACCAAGAGTATTTACCAATTGCATGGCTCCAGCATGTGCATATTTCCAACTTCAGGGAGCACTAGTTTACCCCTAGTTAGATGTCTGGTTGCTAGTTGCCAAAACTGAACAGGACCTATTGCAGTAAATTAAAATGACCTGCCCTACTGTTAACCACTTGAGTTGGTGCATTAACACCAAAAAAAAAAAAAAAAAATCATGCTTGCTCCTTCACAGACCATACTGTATATTGGAGGAGTTTTCAATTCCGTGTCAGCCCAAGCATACCTACCGCAAGACCAGATGGAGAAGCTCATGGCTACAGCCTCCGACCTTCATACCAGCCCAAGATCCTCTGCATGGAGAATTCAACTACTAGGGCACATGGTGCCAACCCTTGCCATGATTATGCCAGGTTGCGAATGTGCCCGCTCCAGCTCTGGTTTATGACCCGGGCACGACTTGCTGGGAAAAACTTGCATTCTGACCCGGGCGCGACTTGCTGGGAAAAACTCTAATTCTGCCTGACCGTGTATAGGCAAGCCTAGCCTGGTGGATGCTCAAGTCAAATCTATTGGAGGGACTTCCATTCCTAACCATCAGAACCAACAATGACACTAACCACCAATGCATCCCTCACCAGTTGGGGGTGCCCATTCTGGACAATACCAGACCCAAGGGACATGGTCTGGACCCAAAAAGAGACTCCATATAAACCACTTGAAGCTCCTAGCTGTCTACAAAGGTTTCATTGCTCTGCAGAATGTGCTGGTTGGCAGAATGTGCAAATGACCACAGCATTCTATATCAACAAACAGGGTGGAATTAGATCCATAGCACTCACTCAACTAGCATTGCAACTATGGGAGTGGTGCATCTGACATGACATCAATCTGGTGGCCATTCATATGGTGGGAATACACAGTGTGACTGCCAATGTACTCAGCCGCACCCCATTCCAAGTTCACAAATGAGAACTCAACATAGAAATTCTGAACAACATCTTTGTTGCAGGGGGCACCCCATCTGCAGACCTCTTTGCTAGGGAGGACAATGCTGCATACTGCAACTACTGTTCCAGAGTGGGGATTGGAAAGAACTTCATGGGGGAAACCTTCCTCACTCCATGAATGGGAACCATCTTCTATGCCTTTCCCCCATTTCCCCTCATCATGAGGATGATAATGAAAATTAGGAGCGCTCACATGCAAGTCATTCTGATAATGCCATGGTGGCCCAGGCAACCCTGGTTTCCATTCCTGCTCTGTCTCTCCAAACACAACTTGCTTCGCCCACCCTCAATTCCATATTTACTGTCCCAGGCACAGGGGAAATACTACACCCCAACGTTCAAAGTCTTTGCCTAACAACATGGCTCATTGCTTAATGGCCATGACTACCACCCTAATCTCCCTCCAACTACAAGCTCCTACTCCTATCCAAAACTCCATGTCTAACATCGTGAAAGAAAGCACAACCCCAGTGCACATCTCCACTAATAACTTCCTGAATGATCAGCCTAATTACTTGACGGCCACAACCGTTGACTTGAACCCACGGATCCAAGACGTCCTACAGGCAGCATTGTGTCCAACTGCCAAATGCTTTCATTCATCTAAATGGTTATGCAAAGGACCATTCCTTCGACCCAGATACAGTGACCGTACAAAATAAACTGGAGTTTCTACACTCCTTGCACCAAAAAGGACTTAAACCTATATCTGCAATCTCTACCGTCCAAGGTCTTACTGAGGGCTACTCAGCTTTCACTCACAAACATTTCATGAAAGGCCTCAAAAACCTGTATACTCCTGTCTGATCCATTGCCCCCAGTTGGAGTCTATCTGTAGTGTTACATGCACAGATGAAGCCACCATTCAAACCACTCACTGCCATGGACCTTCACCTCATCTCTTGGAAGATTTCTGGTGGCCATCACCTTGGCTTGCAGAGTGAGTGAACTCTGCACTACGAATACATCCTCCATGCTTAACTTTCCACAAGGAAAAAGTGCTACTCCGTACCAATCCATCCTTTCTCCCTAAAGTCTCTTTCTCCTGTCATATACATCAAGAAATAGTGCTCTTGGCATTCTACCTAGCACCATCTACAAACATTGAAAGGGCCCTGGATATGCTCAACATTCACCACATACCAGCTTTCTATCAGTCCCAAACTGAGTCAGTACACAGAAACAACTGTCACATGCAGACCACTCCAAAGGCGATCCAGTAGGTCCCCAATGCCTCACACACTGGATCATAGAGACAATTAAATTAGCATACCAGCTAGCAGACTTGGACTTGTCAGACAATCCTGGAGCTCATTCCACTAAGGCGATACCAACATCAGTGTCCCTCTAGAGGGGATTACCATTAGACATGTTGTGCAGAGCAGCTACATGGTCATCACCATCCACATTCATCCACCACTGTTGGCTCAATGTGAGAGCTAGGTAGGACTGCTCTTTTGGGCAATATGTTGTCATCTATTTTCTTGTAACAACTCCTCCCACCTCCTTTAATGGTATGTTCGTTAGTCACCCATATGTGTGATGCACAGAGACCACGATGAAGAAAGGCCAGTTGTATACCTGTAATTTGTTTGAGTGGTCATCTGTGCATTCACACAATCCACCTGTCGTGCCTCTGTCGGTGTTGGTGGATTATTTTTCTCTCTCTCTACCTACTATTTACATAGCAATAGGTCAGTTAAGGACCTAGAAAAAATGGCAAATGTTGGTCTCCAGTTGGACTGAGAAAAATGTGCGAGCCCTCTTATTTATGTAACAGTGAAGCGGGGAGAGCTCCCACCCAAAATTCTAGGATTAGCTAGAAGAATCTTCCTGAATGTTGCATTGAGCAGGCTCAGCACTCATATGTGTGCATGCACAGATGACCACTGGAAGAATGACAGTTACAGGTATGCAACCTGCCTTTACCTCTTTTGCAATTTGAATAACCTTTAGCTTAAAACAAGACTTGACACACCAGAGCGCTCCAGGGGAGTTCATCTTGCATCACATCATGAGTGACTGCACGCCTGGTCCCATGTCTGGCACCCTCCCCTTCCTCATCAGTGGGTGGCACACCTTTCTGAGTCAGCTGCAGTAGCAGCCACTAAAAAGGGAAGCATTTCCCCCATTGCTGTCTGTGGAGTAGTAGGCAAATAATCCATGAAAGTTAAATCCGCAAAAATCGAGGTTTGACTGTAGATTCTGAATAACTAATCCAAATCAGTGTGGCTTATTGTAGACAGTGATTGTTTCTATTGAAGTATAGAAGCTAAGGCTGTACAAAGAAACTTTCTTGTTCAGTCAAAGAACAAATGTGGGTTTCTAATGTAAATTTTTAACAGTTCAAAATCCATAATAGAGGTCTGATTACAGGTATGGTGGAGGGCCAGCTGTTAACCATCTGTATGTTTGTCATACCTGCCAAGTGGAAGCAGAGAAAATAGAGAAAAGAAGGAAGACAGAACTGGAAATGTTTATTCGGGTAATATATTCTTCCTCCTTTTTTTAATTTAAGTGATTCTTAAACATAAGGGATCCTTAAAACCAACGGTTTAGACTCTGAACCTTTGTTTAGGAAACATTCTTCTGGGCTCACCATCAGCATGGGAAGTGGCCCAAGGGTTGCAGGAAGAAAGAGTGTGTTCCCCTACCTCTTTCATCAACAGGCTAGACCAGTGGTTTTCAACCTTTCCACAACTGGGGACCGGCAAAAACTGGAATACCATCTTGGAGACACACTGAGGCCGAACAAAAAGCACAATACACATAATACAGTATTCTGTGTATTAGTTTCCAAATGGAGAGGAGAGGAGAGGAGATTCTCCAGAACAACCATAAATTGAGCAACAGAAAATGCCAACCAAAGAACAAAATACTGAAATTGGTGCAGTTTGACTCCCAGCCAGTCCCCAGTGAGCCGTCTCTCTCCCCCTTAGCCTGGAACCATAATACTTGGCAGAACATCTCTCACAATCTACACAGGCGCTATGCTCAGTATCTGAGGCCTTCCTCTGGGTACCACCTCTGAGGGAAGCTGTTGACAGCTTCAAGGAAGAAGGCCCTGCCTGTTGCAGCCTCTCAGTTATGAAACAGTCTCTGCACCAAGGCTGGTCTGCCTGCCACCAATTCTGCTATTATTTTGGTGCCAGATGAACTGCCCACTATGCCAAAACATTTAACAACTCTAAATAGCACATGGAAGGAAGGGTAATCTGAGCTGTTTTTAATAGACCTAGTTTTATTAACATTAGTTAATGTTTTTAAATTCTCATTTTAAATTTTGTAGTGAACTGTTATGATTTTATTGTGCGTATTCTGTACTGTATTTGTTGCATTTTATGCACTGTGAACTGCCCAGAGATTCTCATCTGTTGCACAGTATAAGAAAAATAATAGCTAAGGAAAGGATACATCAAGATTCAAATCAAGAACTTTCCATTAACTTTTTTCTGGCCTTTCATCATATGATGAGGATGAGGATGATGATGGAGGTTGGTTTGATTTTGGTTTTTGTGTTTTTTAAAGCATATTCAGGTATCATCCATGCTAGTGTGTGGAGGTGGTATTTCAGTACTGGGACAAGACTCCTAAAACCTTGTGTGTATGTGTGTGCGCGCACACATGTGCAAGATTACATCACTCCACAGAATTCTAGTTATTTTTTTATGTTTCATAATACTGATGATAACCCTCCCAGAGAGAGATTTTTGATAGTTAAACAATCCTCACCTAACCTAGGGTTTGTTTTTAGGGTTTTCGGAGGCTTATTCAACCCTCCGATAACCCTCTAGGGCTACTTTTGGGGGTTGCATATCCATAACAGTGGTCAGCATGCACCACAGTTCCTCAAGGGTAACATAATCTTTGAGAAGCTTTTGGGCAGGGCAGACAGGTCCAGTGTGTTGCCCAAAATCAAGGAGGATAGGACTGGCTGCCTGCCATTATAACATAACTGTCAGTGTCCTGGATCACATGTAATGAGCTGGTATTTTCTTCGTTATTGGGGCTTCTCACTGAAGTGATGGTTGCCATTCTGAATATTCAAGCAAGGTGGGGTGCACCATAGCTTGTCATTATGTGTGAACCCAGTGAAGGTGGGTTGTTGAACTGGTTGACATGGGCTATCTTAGAGTTGGTTTGTTAACTCCTGCAGTGGGCAGGTGGCTTATTAACTTCCACAATAACCCATGGGCTATTTTAGAGTTTTAGGTGGCTTGTTAACTTCCTCAACAGCTCATCCTAGACAAGTTTGCATGCAACAACAGGCTCTCACTGTGGCTTAATATTCACAATGGTGGTCACTGCTACAATGAAAAGTCATGTGGAAAAATTCAGTCACAATGGCTTCTCATATATGAGAACTAGGTCACTTGCTGCTAATTTGTTGTCCCCCTGCTTGTGGATCAGTTCATTCATGGAATCCACAAGTGAAGGTCTAGTGTACTACCTAAGAGATCTGACAGTGTATGGAAACAAGCAACCTTGTTTGAGGAACAGTGGCTGTTGTATAAGGAAGTAGAGATATTTAACATGGACCCAGTACTGTCTATCTCTCACATACATATTGGAGAAGCTGAGTTCTTACTGAAGATTTATGTCCCAACATTCATTTGAAGAGAGCGAAATCCTATTCAATGTTAAATTCTCTAAACATAGTAAGGGTTTACTAACCTTGTATGAATTTTAATCAAGTGCTTTGCAGCCAGGTGACCACTTTGTAAGAAAGCTGGACTAGATAGGCCTTTAGTTTGATCCATTACATTGTTACTCCAAGTTTTTTTTTCACTGTGGCAACCTCAGTAGTAGATGACAACTGGCTATGTAAAGGTGTGCTTTCGCTTAGTCACTTCATTTGAACTTTGGAATGGGGAAACTCTTGAACCCCTGGCATGAGCTAGTTACTGCAGTTGTGTAAACTTGAAAACTATTGGATGACCTCAAATCTAAACTTAGAGCAACTATTCACTTTGTTCCAAAATTCTTTGATCTCTTAAGAGCCAGTGTGGTGTAGTGGTTAGGAGTACAGGACTGGGACTCAGAGATCTGAGTTCTAGTTCCCACTCAGCTAGGGACCTAACTGGCTGACTTTGGGCTAGTTATAGACTCTAGTCCCAGTTACCTCACAGTGTTGTTTTGAGGATAACATAGTAAAGAGGAACAAAATTAATTTGAAAGGAAAAAGGCAAGATATAATAAAACTAAGATGTCTTACAGGGCCATCTTAACAAGTTTACTCAGAAGTAACTGTAATTGGGTTCAAGGGGGTTTACTCCCTAGTGTTTCTAGAACTGTAGCCTCAGAGCTTGTCTTGTGTTTCTCAGCTCAACAGAGCATTTCAAGAGGAGGAGTCTCCATCCATATTCTATTGCATCAGTATGCAGTGGTTCAGAGAATGGGAAGGATTTGTGAAGGGCAAGGACATTGGTGAGTGACTTTCAGAACACCTTTTCAGTAGATGGCATATTTTTTAATAGTATACATTTCTTCTTTCACCACTTAAGACATTACTGTGGTAAAAAATGAGCAGAGTGCAGAAATAATCTCTTATAAAGAGCTGAGATATTCTATAAAAAATAAAGAGAACAAGACTTAATACAGCTTTTTGCACAAGGTAGTTATGCAAAAAAAGGAAGCTACCAAAGCCTGCTGTTAAATCACCAGATAAAAACTTGTTATATTTGCAAGCATATTCCTAAAGATTAGTTTGAATTTCCACTTTAATGAACCTTCATTATAGTTTTGGTCAACAGTCTGCTTGTAAATTATTTTTAAAGATTTGAGTAATGACCCAGAAATGCTCTTTTTAAACTGTTTGCTGTGCAGGGTAGCTGCTATGCCCAAAAAGTAAATGTGCACCTTCTTGTGTGCTTATAGATAAGCTTGTTCAATTGGATCCCTGGACTATATTGTGTTTTTATCTTTTTATATTTTAAGTGTATAATTTTTCATTTTAAAACCCAAGAAATAGAAAATTGGAAGTTCAAGTTACACCATGGTTTGCTTGTTTGTTTGAAGCGTGTTACTTTATTGTTACCTTATACCCTAATATACTTTTCCATCACTCTAGATCCTCCAGGTCCTATTGATAACACCAAAATTGCTGTCAGTAAATGTGGAATTGCTGCTCTGAAACAAGGTATGGCTCCATTGATATAGCCTGTTCTGCATGCAATTTTTGCCTTCTCTACAAAAGTGGTGTTCTACATCAACAGCTTTCTCCGTTTTTGTTTCCATTTGTGTTACACTTGCCACATATGAACCAACATCATATTTGTAAGCATAATTTTGCTACAAAGTTGATTCCAGATTGGCCACTCCATGAATGGCAGGACTACAGGCAGTCTCTGAGTTACGAACATCCAAGTTAAGAACAGCGTGTACTTATGAACACACTGCCATACAGCCTATTATTTTTTTAAAAATTCTGCAGAATATCTTTATTACCATAGAGAGAGACAAGAGGGGAGGGCCTCCAAAGCATCCTAACCCACATATTTGCCATGAGCCTTCCTGGAGCCATTTGCTTGTAGGACTACACCTGAATATTTGAATTGGGAAACCTGCTCAATCTTGTGCTGATTTATCTTCCATCATCAAGTTTTTGATCTTTTTGCAAAGGTCATGATTTTTGTTTTTTGGTAGTTAATTGTCCAATCTTCTTCCTTGTATTATTCAGTCAGCTTCTGCAATGCTCTTGTGAGCCTGATTGGAGTCCTTGAAATAATATTTGCATCATCTGCATATACCCTCTTCATCCGAAAATAAGACCTAACTGGAAAATAAGCCCTAACATGATTTTCCAGGATGCTCGTAATATAAGCCCTACCCTAAAAATAAGTCCCTCAGTTCCCATGAACTGCGAAAAAGTGCCCAGACACCGAGAAGCGCCACTGCTGACTTCTTGGGCAAATCTGTCCAACCTCCTGAACCCCAGTGTGAAGAATGCCAACAAGGACTGCCTTTCCATCTACTTTTCCAAATAGGAAGCCATAACATTGGATCAGTGGGTTCTTTCCATTATAGAAAAGAGATATTGAATTGAATTTGACACCCTACCACCACTTGGAACAGTACACTCAACTCCATCTTCCATCACTTTGGCAAACGAAGTCACCACACTGTTGTGGAAAGGAACAGTCTGTCTCATCCATCCATCTTATCTCCATTGAGGCTTCTTCTGTCAGTACTTGACTGTTTTGAAGAAGGATGGCCATCTCCATCCTATTTTAGACCTGTGGGATGTCCTACCGACCACAACGGAACTCAACCAGGAACAGGACTCAACCAGGAATTGCTTGGTGCTCTCCTGTTCCATCAGAATGAGCTTCTCTTTGTGGACCAACGAAAACAACTTAGTAAACAGGATCACATTCATCCCAATGGAACCACCCCTAACTCTAACAACAGATGGGGAACACACTGCACTGCCAGCAAGGCCCAGGGGGTGTGGACTGAATTGGAATGTGAATGCCACATCAACTACCTAGAATTTCTTGCTGTCCAAAAAGCCTTGCTCACTTTTCGATGGGTACTTTAGGGCAGACATATTTGGATAGCATCTGACAACACCACAGTAATATTTTATCTGATCAAGCAGAGAGGCACCTATTCCGCACAAGTGACTTGACTCACACTATGAATATGGGACTAGTGCCTAGCACACAACATAACCATTACAGCCTTCCATTTAGCAGGAACCAAGAAAAAGACAACAGACACTCTGAGCGGAATACCACACAAAATTCACAAATGGGAACTACATCCGAACACTCTACACAGACTTTTCAAAACTCATTCTGCGTGTAATAGTGGCAAACTTGGTATGCAAAGCATTTTGTTTCCAGGCTGGAATTAGGAAGGAGTCACTCAGTGATACCTTCTTCCAACTGTGGACCAGAACATTTTGATACCTATTTTCACCATTCCCTATGATTATAAAAGCACTGTCCAAAATTTGCCAGGACAAAACAAACTGCATCGTGGTGACCCCATGGTGGCCCCATCAACCATGGTTTGCTCACCTCCTCCATGTATCAAACCACAGGTTCATCTGACTCGCAGAGATGCAGGACATCATCTCTTGAAACCAGAAAATGATTTTCTATCCAGATGTTGGAACCCTCTGTCTGACAGCATGGAGGACTGCCAGTAGACTGTAACCTGTCTCTCCAACCCAGTATCCAAACCATTCTAGATGCAGCATTGAGACTTAACACACACCTTTCCTACATAGCCAAATGGAATGCTTTTCAAACCTTTGCAAAGAAAGAGTTCTTCATCCCACCCCAAGCCTCTATCCATCAGATCTTAAACTTCCTACATTCGCTCCATACCAAGGAGCTAAAACCATCATCTGTAAAAGTTGACCTTGCTGCCATTTCATTATTCCATGGAATGGTTGAAGGGTTCTCAATCTTCTCCTACCCCATTGCCGGACAGTTCTTAAAAGAACTCCACAACATCAATCCACATATCTGTTCCATCTTACCAGGAGTTTGTAGTTCTACAAGCACCAACAAAGCCTCTGTTTGAACCCCTCAGCACTGTAAACCTATGCGTCCTCTCTTGGAAGGTAGCCTTCCTTATAAGAATCACCTCTTTGAGGAGAGCAAGTGAGTTGAGTGCCCTACGAACAGACATACCATTCCTCATTTTCCATTAAGACAAGGTAACCCTCTGACCAGACCTTGCATTCCTACCAAAAGTCACCAGCTCTTTTCACCTAAATCAGGCCATTATCTTACCAGCTTTTCCCCCAATGCCTTCTACCCCGCAACCCCAGAGAAGTCCCTTCACAAATTGGACAAAGGGCCCTAGCCTTTTACAGAGCCTGAACTGAGCCATTTTGAAGAACTCGATGACTTTGTCAACAACAATGAGCAATGCAACGGTGAAGCTGTCAGTTCCCAATGAATTGCCCATTGGATTGTGAACATTATTAAAGTGGCATACTATCTCGCACAGCTACCACTTCCAGAAGATTCCCAAGGTGCTTTCCACAAGAGCTATGGTGTCTTCCACAGCCTTACATGCTGGTATCCTATTAGAAGAACTTTGCTGCACAGTGACATGATCTATGCCCTCTACCTTTGTAAGTCATTACTGGCTCAATGCCCGTGGCAGACAAGAGTGCTCCTTCAGCCAAGCTGTACAATCTGCAGTTCTCTAAGGATGACACCTCCCACCTGCATTTAACAATAAGCTGGGTAGGCACCCGTATGTGTGATGCACAGAGACCATGAAAAAGAAAGGAAGGTTGCTTACCTGTAACTGACATTCTTCGAATGGTCATTTGTGTATTCACGCAACCCACCAGCACCGCGTTGATGTCACCTGTCATCTGGGTTTTCTGCACAATTATTTCTCCTTCCTCACATTCTGTTCCATTCTGGAGCAGACCATTTCCTTCTCTCTTCCTATCCTTGGTTCCGAGGCCCAAATGTTGATCTCTTTTGAACAAGGGAAAATGGTGGGGACCTCTCTTATTTATACTGGAGGGAGAGGGGGTGGGTTCCTGCCAAAACTTTAGCTGAACTTCAGAAATATTTCCAACAACAGGGACCACACAGGCATAGAGCCCAAATGTGTGAATGCTCTCAAAGAACATCAGTTACAAGTAAGCAACCTTCCTTTTTTTAACCCTTATGATTGCTAGGCAAAAAGAAACCTTTGAACTATATAGACAGTTAGTTTGTGGAAGGTAGAATTCCTTTATAACTTCCAATCTCATGCGCACAAACATCAGGTTTAATTAAACAGTTACTTAGGAGAACAACATGCAATGAACCTGGACTCCAATTGGATTGGTGATTATGTACACTAATGTTGCTAAAATGGAATCTCTGGAATGTGATCTGCACAGACTGCTGTGCTTGCATTTCCTTGAACTTGGGACCTTGATATTAAAATGTACCATCTTCTGAGCAAAATATTTTCTAAAATACTTAAGATCTTTACATCCTGTATCTTTACATTTTTTTTCAGGAGCCGATTCTGGACAGATTTCTGAAGAAACATGGAACTTTCTTCTGTCAATATATGGGGGAGGGCCAGAAATCATACTGCGGCCACTTGTGGCTCAAATTGAACCTGAACCATTAGAAACTGAAGATAAGATTGAGTTAGAAACACGTTGTCTGTAGTCATCACTACAAAGATCAATAATTACAACATAACTCTCATTTAACAAACATTCCAAAAAATGTTTAAGTTGTTTTTGTTTTCCCTGTGAGCAGACTGAATTTTGGGCATTATTGCATCTGTGAAAAATGAATTGACACTTGTAACACACAGATTCTTTAAAAATGTATTAGAAGCTTTCAGAAAGACTGGTCTGGTCTTGAAAAGGTAATTTTCTTGTCCTACATAATTGTATGTATGCAAAATATAATGGAAGGATTTAACCATTCTTTTTAATATATCTATGAATTTTGAGGCTGTTTCAAATCACGTTTTGTCAAGACAAGATTTTAAAAGGGTTTTGAGTACCATTGATGAAATTTAACAAAAATACATACTTTTAATGTTCTATGAAAACTCAGGAAAAGTTAGGTTTCACTTTTATTTGCACTGCACTGTAGAAAAGCATAATGACCTAAAAGTGTCCAATGCTTTTCTTATTTGAATATATAAGCTATATGAATTATTTGTCAGCAGATGTAACTTACTGCTACTGTTTAAACCTTCTGATAAGTTACATATTCCATGTAAGCTAGTATAATCAATAGTATGCATCAGTTTAACTAAACAAGCCTATAATTTAAGAGTGTTTGTTCTGAAGTGGGTATGTTAACTGCTTGTGCACCTGAGAAATTTTCTAATCTTTTTGTAAATTAAATGCATCCATAGTTTAATGTGGAAAAACTGTACAGTTGCTCGTTGTCCATTAGCATGATTAATGTTGTCTGATATTGAATTGAATAAACACAAGATCGCAAAGGTATTCTAGATTATTCATATTGAAATGTTGAATGTCACCCAAATATTTTACTTCTTGATTACTGCTAACATATAAGCAATATTATTAAATGCTAATTCAATAAAAACAATTTTTAAAATGGTTAACAGTGTTTGAACTTCAAACATGGTAAAGTAATATATTAGAAATATATATTTTAGTTTGTCACTATATGTTAATATAATTTCAAAAATGAAAGCAAGGTCTCTTTTGTCTGGAGAAACCTTCAGAAGCACATTCACTCTTGCACTAAAATTATATATTTAGATATTGTGAGCAATTTTTGTTGTTGCCTTCATACTCTAAAAATGCTTGAGGATAGCAATGCTAATATTGTGTTCTCCATATAGACTGCTTTACGGTGTGATACATCTGTATTGTTGGAGCACAATTTGATGCTTGATTATAAGTAAAATACTAGTGATGGTGAAAAAAAATCTGTTCTTATTGTGCAGTCTCTCTGCCCTAGCTTCCACATGTTTATTGTCAAGTTGCCACTGAGGCAAAGTGTTCTCCATATGTATAGTTTACTGTAAGAAGTGAATGGGAGACTTTGTACTGTTTTGCATCATTGTGTTAATGAGAAGAACTTGGCTCTGTGCTGGATTTACCTTTTGCCTGTTTCTTAAAGGCAGTATTGACAAAACTATAGTATTTTGGATTATGTAAACTAAAGTAATGTCATAGCCCTTTGTAAGAGCAATAGTGTTTTAAGCTTTTGTCAGTCCTAATCAGCAGCACCAAAAGTTCTGGTATTTGAGCCAGAATATCTGGAAGGTGCTGTCTAAAGTGACTAGTTTTAACATACTTTTGTAATTCTGAGAGCCTATTTTGCCTTATACCAGGATAAAAGAATCCTAAACTGTTTAGGGTATTTGTCTTTGGTTCATTAGCATTTTGTAGAACAAACTCGGTTGGCTGCCTGTGGTTCCTTTCATAGGAAAAGAACTATGTGAATTATTTCAGGAAAGCCCCGGTTTGCACATGCAAAGGGCAGCACTTGGATACATCTGTGTGTACGAACAGGTGGCAAGGAACCAACTATGCAAGTTAATGGCTTCTCACATCCATCTGCTCAGGAGCTATCTACTTTTTTGCCACATTCATGCCACTTATTTATTTATACTTTGGCCTGTGGTATAGCAATGATAAGGGGCTTAAGTTTTTCCTAGCCTAGGTCTGATAGAGTTACCTGAAAAATAAAATACCAACATAATAAGGCAACTGCGTGAAAATGAGGTGACTTAATCCTTCCTATGCATGTCTTTAGAACCAAGCCATATAATTCTGAATGCAACCATCTGTTCTAAGAGAAGATGGCACATCATTTTTAAGTGTATGCACTCTTATATAAGGGGAAAAAAAACTGTATTGCAGAGGTTTGGGATGAAGCTGCCAAATTAGAAACCATCCTACATGCTAATACAGTTTCTTAATACACAAATCCTTAAGCCACTGTGTGTCAGACATAGTGAGCAAATTATGATCCAATAGTGTCAAAGTATAGTGCATTTTCCTTATATATATAAAAAGCCATCATTTACCTTGTGAAAGAAAAAAATAAATGGTTTACTTCAACATTGTTCGTGGATGGATGAAATAATCCAAATCAAGTTTGCTCACTCCTTCAATTATCTTCACTCATTGATGAGACTGTATTTATAGATGTTTGAATTCTATTTTCTTAAGATCCCTTGGAATCTTCTAAATGAATTCTAAGTCCTTGTTATATGACACTGTGTTGAGCTAAAAACAAACTCCAGCAAAAAGAGCATGATATTTTAGCCTTTCCGGCTTTAGAGAAAACTGGAAACAGTCTTTGCCAATTAAGAAAAATCCATATAAATGTATATCTCATGTAAATAGAAAGTTGCATACTGTATCTCGATACTATGGATTTTATTTTTTATATATTTTGGTGCAGGTCAGTGGAGAAAATGATATCTGATTCTGCTGAACAATCCATCTTTTTCTACATTATCTGTTAATTTAAATTGCAGATGTAGTTTTTCAAGGAAATCAATTCTTTTATTGGCTTTCTTAGATACCTCTTTGTAATATGCTGTTTTAAGCCAAGATGTCCTGGTTCCCATAGCAACACATCCCTCTCCTCTTCTCCCATCCTCCCTGCCTTTCAAATGTTAGATGAAAAAGAACTGAAAGGCTGCATAGGCTGATGTTTTTACAAGTGAGCCTTCATCATCCCAAACTGAGCAAGTATCTTCAAAAACAGGCACCAAGTTTCTTGATGTGATTTTGTGCCCTATTAGCCAAACCTACTCCTGAACACTTGTCAAAATTCTAATGGCCTTTAATTCTGTGGGTTAAAAATTGAAGATGATTCAAAATTGCAAAATTAAAACTTTGAACTCTTTGATTTATTAAAAATGTGTAAGAGATAATTTCATATTAAGTAAAATCCTTTACTTAAAAAGCAAGACAAAAGAGCCCTTTAAATAGAGGCAGTGCATTCTCTCATTTTTGTAATGTACTTGAAATAGAATTTCTTCAAGTGAGTGTTATTACACAGTAAGAAAATAGGAAATGAAAAATTGTACCACAGAATGCTACATTATTATGCATTCAGTATGTTGACACAGTCAGTATCAAAAATTGTATCAGTTAATTTCATAACCTAAGTTTTCATAGAATCTGAACACATTCCTTTCCAAATTACATAACCTATGTTAAGTTAATGTGTTTTGAAGGAACAGAGTGCTAAGCAGTAGCTTACTAATCTAGGTAACAATGGATTTAGGGTTGTGAGGGGAAAAGTTTGTGCGTCTATCACAGTACTGTATTTCTGTAATTCTAGAAGCCATTGATGGGAGCGAACTGACTGGTTTTCTAATGAACAGACTAACTCAAACAATGTCATCAGGGTAGTAAAGGAGAAGTGATTTTTGCAGGGGAACTGAGAATGTTAGTTCTAGCTATATATTAGATCATATGTAATGCCTTGCTCTTCCATTGTGCAGTAATACCTGGCAATACAAAATGCATCATATGGCATCATTGCAGTGTGAGGGTTTGTTTTTAACCTGCAAATGCAGCAGCCGATCAAGTGTAGCGGAGATACACAAATGTTCAATCACTACATTGTTCTGAGAAAGCTGGACAAGATAATGCAAAGGTGTTCCTCTGAAACAAGACATCGTATCTGTATGATGTCTCCTTCCAGCCTCAATCAGTTACCATCCTAATTAAAACCAGTAGATTCTAATTCTCTTTCTATGGGTAAGAAAGGTATCTTTGTGCCATTACTAGATCTGGTCTGGCAGTGTCTTGAGAAAGGCTTTGTATGTAAAACAGAAGTGGTAAAATTCAACTACTATGGCTTTTTGGGTGATGTGGCGTCCTCATGTCCTGAAAAGTCACAGCTTACTACAGAAGAATCACAAAACTTTAATGTCAATAATGTGTTGTTATTTAGCCTAAACCTTGAACAACCTCCAAAAGTTTCTAGATCAGAACTCCCATAATCCTTGCCTATTGGCCACCTTGGCCGACGCTTATACAGTTGAGGGGCTACCAAGTCATTACCATTTGTGGTATCATGATTGTGCAGTTGTGGTAGTATCATTGTGGTAGTACCATTTGTGCAATTTCTAGGGTGATACTAAAAACCCTTATCATGTTTTGGGTACTAGCTACCAGAAAGGAATCAGACAGGAATGTCCACTTTTTCCAGTTATATTTTGGTTTCTGTTTGGAAACCCTAGAATGTGCTATGAGACAAAATAACATATGCACCTTGGGGCATGATTGTTCCAAATTTAAAATTGTTCTAGTATTTATTTGAAATGCCAGTCATTTGTTTCAGCCTTAATGCTGCTGATCCATACTTTTGGCAATTTGTCAGGCTATTCAATTAACTGGTCAAACTGAACTGGTATCATTTGGATATTATACTCCATAGTTTATTAGGTAACTGGCAATTTTGAGTAATATTCATATTACTTAATTGGAAATATCCCAAGAGACATATCTCAAATGATCGGAATATGTTAATTAATTTCATGGGATATAAATAGATGGGTGTCTTTAAAATTGAGTTTTTAGGGTATGGTGGATACACTTAAGATTAATATTATACTTTGGATTATTACACATGGGATTTTTCTAGCTATACCTGATAAATTATTTTCAAAAGCTCAGTGGTCTATTTTTAAAAAATGGCAGGGTTCTTTGCCACCAGAGAGATCTTTGAAAAGGATGCAACTTCCAAATAAGGAATGCAGGTGTGTTTGAATCTTGCTTTATATCATCAAGCCTGTTGTTGATCTGTACTAAATTTTTCCACTTAGATTTTCTACCACTCTGGAACTTTCCTGTTTGAATCTTCTGTCCAAATGGATGGCATTAGGTTCTTGGAAGATTCAAATAGATGGAGCTCCTCTGGCAGTTACACTTTGTAAGAGACATAGTAAATAATGTTGCATCAATTACATTGTAATCCATTTTTAATACCAAATTGACTTTTTGTGGAAATCAAGATTTAAAAATTGGGAAGTTAGTATTTGTGAAGTGGATTTGAATGGGTAAGTTGATTTTTATCTTGGATAAATTAATGGGGCTGAGTTTTTGTCATTCTTGGCTTTGTATGCCAATGATTTATTTGCAAGGCTGAATGACAATACTTGCAACATTTGTTAGAATCTAGGTTTGGCCCTATTTTTACAGCTTCAGTCTCCTTTGCTATTGCAACCATATATTGAAACTAATATTGACCCATGGCCGTTTATAAATGCTTATCAGGATGAACAAATATTATATACAAGTTCTTCAGCAGAAATGTAATAGGAAACTGAACTATCCCATTTGCTTGATCAACAGATCCAGAAGAAGCTCTTGTTCTGTGCCTATGGGATGACACAGTATCTCTTTAATTAGAGTTTGTCTACTTCAGCTAATTACTGGAGGTGTGACATAGCAAAAGCTTCTTTTATTCATGTTTTGGTAATTTTTCTTTGGGGAACAAAATTATTATACATATAAATTTTGTATTGAGTTGTTAGTCGCAAAGTCATGTCCAACCCATCGCGACCCCATGGACAACACTCCTCCAGGACTTCCTGTCCTCCACCATCTCCCGGAGTCCACCTAAGCTCACACCAACTGCTTCAGTAACTCCACCTAGCCACCTCATTCTCTGCCATTCCCTTCTTCTTTTGCCATCTATTGTTCCCAGCATTAGGCTCTTCTCCAGGGAGTCCTTCCTTCTCATTAGGTGGCCAAAGTAATTGAGTTTCATCTTCAGTATCTGGCCTTCTAAAGAGCAGTCAGGGTTGATCTCCTCTAGGACTGACCGGGTTGATCGCCTTGCTGACCAAGGGACTCACAGGAGTCTCCTCCAGCACCACAATTCAAAGGCCTCAATCCTTTTGTGCTCAGCCTTCCTTATGGTCCAGCTTTCACAGCCATACATTGCAACTGGGAAAACCATAGCCTTGACTATACACACTTTTGTTGGCACTCTTTACTGATATACATCTCTTCTTAAATTATCTACCTGTTTCCTGCAAGTAAATGCACAGTAATCAAAACAGATTTGCCTTTTTGACAGCTAAAAGACTGAAGTTACAACCACAGAAGGATATATTCCTCTTATAATACAATGGATGGAGGACTTAATGACACTTTCAACTGCAGGTAGTATAGAAATGCTTGTAAATGGATACTTAAATGGATATTTGGTCTGCAATTGCTGAAGTTTATGTATAATTTTTAGAAAGCTGTTTTCTTCTATATATACTGTAAATGCAGGTATTTGAACTGATATATTCCATTCTATGACATATTTTTCTTTTCCTCTATGATTTTGTGTTGAAATAATATATGGGATTTGTACTGCAAAATGTTGCCTACTCCCTTGTCTGGAGGTGTTAGTATTTTATTTATAAGAGAACATATGTGGCTTCACATGGGTCCAAATAGCCATCCCTGTGATACCTTCAAGCAAAAGTACACTGCTGATGAAAGTTGACTAGGTTACATCTGCCTTATTTGAGTTAAGCCAGAGCTGCCAGCTCCTCTTAAGTACCGCCTCTGCTATGATGGATCCCTACAGCCTCTCCGAGGGAGCGATTAGCCATCTAATTCTGTCCCTTTTTCAACTGCAAAGATAAGCAGTTGTTAGGGACCTAGTGGTTGAAGTTGATACTGCAGGCTTCAAACACAATATAATTAAGTGCAATCCTATCCATGTTTTCCCAGAAAGGGGTCATATAGTTTCTGGCATTCTCCAACCAGCAAGTATTATTCCTGCTAAACTTGCATAGGATTGCATCCTTTGTGCTTTTTAAAATCTAAATACCCCCAAGGCGCACCGATAGGTTCGCCTTAGTTTGCATGCCATATCAGGTGTCCAGGTTTCGATCTTAAAACTATGGTACCAACAGACAAACATCTATTAATATCCCTTCTTCTTTGTATTAGAGTGCTCCACCTAACCATTAAAACAGATTACTAAGCGTATATTAATGTGGCTTGAAAGTTGCTTTTTTTTGGTTATCTTATGTTTTTTAATAGCTCAGAGCTGCCTTGTACAACGACAAAGGCAAGGAGAGATTCGCATAAAAAATAAGTGGATTGTGACAGCACGCGCGCTATCTAAATACGAAAAAATGACTTTATCTAAATTAAGCGGGAGAGATTTCCTTTTCAGCAAACCAACATAAGGACACAGAGGTTCTTGAAGCCGCGCCGCCACTGCGCAACGCTTTGTACTAAGGAGTAGCTGCTGAGCAGAGGCGCATAGCGGGTCTTTTTTCGGCCGACGAAATAGTGCGCCGCGCAGCCTCTTCTCTAGGCGAAGGGACGTGGGATACCGATCCCCGGGTGCGGCTTACGTCTACCCGTCTCTGACAAAGAGCAGCAGCCCGCATCGTCCAGTGCCTGACCAGCCGCACGGTGATCCCGCGGGCTCAGACCAAGCCAGCCACTCCAGGGTCGCCTCCCTGAGTCAGCCAGCAGGAGGAGCTGCAGGGAGCGGCCCCCATTCGCGGGCGGCGCAGGGAATATGGGGGGGAGGGGAAGGAAGCGGAAGAGGAGCTGCCGCCGTCGCCGCCGCGCGGCGCTGAGGGGAGCCAAGCGGGCGCTGTTGTCGGCGTCCAAGTTCTGACGTGAAGCGCGGCTGCCTCTCAGAACGGAGGAAAAGACGCGTCCGCTTCGGTCGCAGCGGGCTGAGTTTTCCGTCTCTCAGCAACCAGGTCAGGCCTCCTCCTTTGGGGGCGAGCGGGGGGCCAAGTTGTGAGGCAGAAAGACCCGGATGGTGCCGGGGGGGGGAAGAGGAGGTGGTATTATATCCCCATGTGACCTGCGCGTACGGAGTGGGGGGGGTAAAGAAGGCGGAGGCTCGCGCGCCTTGTTCGAATACCAGCCGCTGAAATAAAAGGGACAAGCGCATGCGTGACGACGTCACCTTCCCTTCCTCCAGCCATTAGCCATCATTCCCTCCTGCGCGGGTGAGCACGTACGGAAGATTGCGGGTGCTGTTGTGTTTCTGGGACACACGGACACGTGCGCGCTGCTTCCGCCATGTTGGTTCTCAGGAGGAGGAGGAGGAGGAGGAGGAGGGTTGAAGCGGGAGTTCTCGCGAGGTCAGCCGTTGTTCCCGTGGGAGCTGGCCGGAGGCAGGATGGCGGCGCTGCGCTGGGAGTGATGGGTAATAATGGTAACGGGCAACCGGGAGGGAGGGAGGCGAGGGGGCGGCGCGGTGAGCTTCTTTAGGGCCAGCCTCTTCGTCCGTCGACGCGTGAGGGGCGGGGTTGAACATCGTGGGGAGTTGAACCTGCCAAGAGTTTGTGCACGTCCGCCGTCGGTCTTCCCCCCTCCCCCCTCGCCTTCCTACAGTCAGAAGGCTCCGCTTTGCAGCAGTTTGCCGTTCCCACCACATTCTGCCACAGGGTTTTTGGGCGCCCCCTGTCGCCTCTTAGGAGCACAACAGGCATTGCCCCAACACCCCGGGATACTTGTGTAGTTTCAATCAGTTGGCACCCCAGCTCATAAAACAGTTCCGTGATCTCTTTCCGCAGGCTAGACCACACAGTACCTATCCATGCAGCAAAATATTCAGGTAACATAATGGAATCTGAATTCCATTGCTTTTTCCTATGTGCCACATTTTACTATATCCCAGAGTTTAATACAAAGTAGTGTCCCGTATCTCTTGTATTCATTTGGCAAATGGCTTTGGCCTCTAAAGTAAGATTTTAAAAATTCCAGAAAAATAGATCTTCTGCATAGCCATATCTTGCTGCCATAATGGATTTTTGTATAGCTTCCAAATGTGTTATTAAGTGCTTCAGCAGTACCTGGCAACACAGGTTCTCAAACTTTTTTAACCCATAAAATTCACTAGATTATGGAATCCAGAAGATAGAAAGACAGCCATACCAATTGAATGCATACATAGAGTGCATACAGTTGAATCCTACATAGAAGTATTGTTGGCAGTGGCTGAAGGCATATTTTGTACCTTGTGGTCCTGTCCTTGATCTCGTTTATTAGGAAGTATGCTGTACTGCTTGTGGTGGTCATTTTTCCTGCCACCTCTGTGCACCTGCTGAAGTAGATCTTGCCTGCAGAATACATATAAAATAAATATGTGAATGTTAGTTTTTGGTTCCCTTGGTATGGAAAGTCAAGGGTAGTATATAGTGCTGCATTATTTCATTGTAAAATAATTTGTGATGGATTGTTGAATATTTTTTGTTCTGTTTTCACATTGTTCTTTTTTCTTGTTCCTTCTGCTACCACTCGCTAGCAAATTTTAGTATACTCCTGCTAGAACAGTTTTCATGTCTGCATTATCAGTGTCTGTGTTTTTTGTGATTTATTTTACTTTGAAGGACCCATTGTCAGAGGGAATCTGCCACTCCCCCCCCCCCAAATCACTGCCACAGTAATTGATGCAATACATCAATTGCAGGAAGGTTGAATATTGCTTTTTTTTTTTTTTTTTTCTTTTTTTTTTTATTTTTTTTTTTTTAAAAAATTTAATTTTCAGAAGTTTTTAATTTTTTTTTTTTTTTTTTTTTTACTATTTCCAGCAGGGTTGCTGTGTTAAGGTATTTCAGCAAAAAATGTGAAGAGTCTTGTGGTGCCTTAAAAGCTAGTAAACTTTTAAATAATGCTACTTGTAATATATATATAGCAGGACTGCACGCACTGGTTCTGTTAGTGCTTTTTCACTCAATCATGGTTGATCTCAGTCTGAAAGAGAAATCAGTTGACACTTCACTCTAAACCTCCTGATGATCTCTCCCAGTAGTTTCATGTAGATGTTGAAAAGAATGGGGAACGAAATAGCGCTCTGCAGAACTCCATGGTGCAAAGGCTATGCCGCAGAGCAGTAGTCCCCCAGCACCACCATTTGGAGACTGTCAGGCAGCTAGGAATGGAACCACTGCAAGACTGTGCCCCCAACTCCCAACCCAGCCAATTTTTCCAGAAGGATACCGTGGTCAATGGTATTGAAAGCTGCTGAGAGTTACTGTTCCAAAACCAGATCTGAAACTTGATTGAAATTGGTCTAGATAATCAGTTTCCTCCAGGAGAGCCTGGAGCTGACTAGCTCCAACCCACTTGATCACCTTGCCCAAAAAAGGAATGTTAGTAATTGGTTGGAAGTTGTTCATATCAACTGGGTTCAGGGCAGGTCTCCTAAGGAGTGGTGCAATAATTGCTGTCTTTAAAGTGGAAGGTACCACTCCCTCTCTAAAAGAGGCATTAGCAACCTCCTGAACCCAGAATCAAGTATCCTGTATAAATTTTCACACCAACGAGAAAGGGCAAGGATTGAGCGAGTAGATTGTAGGCTGAACAGATCCAGGCATCCTGCCCACATTATCAGGCTGCAAGAGCTGAAACTCATCCAGTAGAATGAAACAAGATGGCATACTGGACACCTCTGCTGTTGGAACCAGAATAACTGGAGTCGAAGTCATTATGTATCTGAGCAATTTTATCCTCAAAGTGTCATGCAAATTCCTTACAGCAGGCCTCCAAGGGTTCAGTCAGATCACCTTTGGGGATAGGATGCAAAATGCCCCAAACCACCCAGAAAAGCTGTACTGGGTGACTTGATGAAGATGTGATTCAGACAGTGAAAAAGTGTTTCCTTGCTGCCTTTGCTGCCATGGAATAGGCTCAATAATGGGCACTAAGCCATGTTTGGCCAGATTTTGTTTTTTCCTACACCTGTGCTGTGCTGTAGCTCTTGCTTCATCTCCCTCAGCTCTGGGAAATACCAAGGGACCAGATGGACTCTGCAAGAGGGGAGAAGGTGCTTTGGAGCAATGAACATGTAAAGCACGTTACAGGTTGGATTTCTGTAACACGGTTTACATGGGGCTGCCCTTGAAGACAGTCTGGATACTTCAGATGGTGCAGAACAGAGCTGCCAGGATGCTGACAGGGACTGGGCGTTATTCTCATATAACCCCAGCCCTCTATCAGCTTCCATTGAAGTCTGGGCTCAATTCAAGGTGTTGTTTATTACCGATAAAGCCCTAAACGGCTTGGGACCTGGATACCTTAAGGAACGCCTTTTTCCCTATTTGCCCTCCCGCCCCCTGAGATCGGCAGCAGAAGCCCTCCTCTGGGAACCCTTCGTGAAAGACATTAGGAGGCAGAGCACCCGGAAGAGGGCCTTCTCTGCGGTGGCGCCCCATCTATGGAATGTGCTCCCCAGAGAGGTCCGCCTGGCGCCGTCATTATATGTTTTTCGGCACCAGGTTAAGACCTTTTCGTTTCATCAATATTTTAATAAGTTTTAATATGGCATTTTTAATATCATATTTTTAACTGCAGTCAGAGTAGGTCGATTTGTTTATGTTGATTTTTGTTTATGTTGATTTTTATGTTGGCATTTTGTTATAATTTATTTATATTGATATTTGTATTATGTAAGCCGTTCTGAGGCTTTTGCAATAGGACGGCATTGGCCAGGCCATCTCTGAATTCCATAGCATGACCTGTGTGTGGACACGGGTGCCTACCATACCAGTTGAGGAATTCCCAAGAGCTGTCAGGAATCCACTTGGATCCTTCAGCCCCTAGGCGTGAACCAACTTAATGGGTCCTGCACCCCTGCAGAGAGAAAAAGGAGTCATTAGTTCAAACCTCAAGAAGTGATTTGACCATGACAAAGGGGTCCCCCCCACATTCGCAGGTCATCATATTGCTGCCCAATTGAGGAACTTATGTCTAGAGTGTAACTTTTTATATGCGTTGGGCTGGTAATACATTGAGACAGTCTCATGGCTGCCATGAAGTCCTGAGCCATCCTGGACAAGGCAGCCTCTGCATGGATGGTGAGGTCCCTCAGGACCAGCATCCCTGGGGTTCTCAACACCAGGTTGGAAACTACCTCCACCAGCTCAGGCAGTGAGGTTGCTGGGCAGCGAGGTGCATAGTAGACCAGTGGGATCCCTAATCTGTCTTGATTGCCCAACACACGATAAACACTCTCCAGGTTTTTACTCAATTGAACAGGAAGCCTTGAGAGGGAAATGGGGATGACGATGAACAGTGGCCACCACCCCCCTCCCTGTTCTTCAAGGCAATGCTGGCTTTGCACCAAGTATCCACACCGGCAAAGCTGTGACAGGGTGGCTCCCCCCCCCCACCTCATCCACCCAGGATTCAGTAATACATGACAGGTTGACCCCTTGATCCGCAATTAAATCATGAATCGGAGAGGCTTTATTATGGGCTGACCTGGTGTTAACTGAAAGCACCACAAGGCCTGAAGGCAAGTTGGCATGGTCACTAGGAATCCTCCAGCTGAGGGAAGGACTGGAGAAGGGGAGAGCAGTAAGACATCTGTCCCCCATCTCCTGTGCTGGCCTCTCCAACTGCCAACACCCATATCTCCCCTTGCCCAAAATCACTGGAATTGGAGCACCATAGCCCATCTCAACTTAGCTGGGACGGAGAAAGAATTTGAGAGAGAAGATGACACTAAGCACTTCCTCTTCCTCCCTTTCCAGATTGCTCTTTCCCTGGTAGTAGGAAAAATGGCTTTTGAATTCAAACCAAATATTATATGCAAATGCATAAAATAAAATCTGTATGGGCTTTAAAAAACCATGTTTTCTAGTCCGAATACAGATGGGATTGCAACTGGGGTGGTTGCAATTCCCTTGAGCATTTTTTTCCTTTTGCTTTCTTTTTCTTTGTATTTTAGAAAACTAGCAGTTTGTAATTCTGATGGTGCATTTCTGTTTGGGGTAAGTGGATACATTCATTTATATTTTATTAAGGCTCTTTAATATGTGTTATGCATAAGTAGTGCTGGATAACATTAGGACAAGTGTATTGTTTAGGTATTGTGATTTTTTACTACTTGAAATAAAGATTGCTTTCAGTATTTTAATTGGGCCCTACCAGTAATGCCTATGTACTTGTTCTTATAATACAGTTGTAAAATCATGCTTTGTGATGTGTTGCTGATGAAGCAGTTGCTATGTTCCAACCTGAACAGTTATTTGCTGGTGCAACAAGATTGGGCTGCTACTTTAATCTTTTCCCTCAGTTACCTTTCTATAGCTTGATCTCTTTGCATGTTTACTCAGGGCAAACTCTCATTGTATTTGACAGAGTGTATTCCAAAGAAAGTGTGTTTGGAATACCAAGCTAACATTTAAAATAGTAACTGATTATACTCAGGAAATTGATATAAAAATATCTCAAAAGCTGTCAGTGAGAATTCAGATGTTCTCTTGGACTGTATTTATGATGTGCAGTGTGATTAAAATCAAACACAAAATCTGTCATAGGGAATAGTGGAAACTATAGTTTCCTTTTAAAATACTGGCGTCTACAAGTTATGTGCATAAGAAGACTACTGTGACCTCTTCACCTTTAAGAAAATGAAATATTAGCTTCTTTTGAGGTCTTATTTTAATATCAAAATAACTTTTTAAACACTGCCTTGAGCAAGGTGTGCAGGCATCTAAGCTGTTGTAGGGGAGGGGCTATCTTTCATGGTAGTGCACGAGGTTCATATGCATAAGTCCCAGCTTCCTTAGCATCTCTTGCTAAGTCGGTAAAAAATCCTGTCTAAAGCCCTGGAGAAGTGCTGCCAGTTAAGCTGACACATTGGACCAGATGGAGCATTTGTCTGACTCTGTATAAGGCAGTTTCCTATGTATGTTTGCCTATTTTAATTATTCTTACTTAGCATAATTCCAAGTAATATGAAATGGTCATGTAGGTGAGGGGCTACCAAGACAAGATTCTATCATGCTTTAATTTTCCCTTGTATTGTCTTTTGTGCAGTTTTTAGGCTAAAAACTCTTGTGTTTGGGGTACTAGATTTAATTCCCAGTTAGTATGTCATTATTATTCTTCATGTTCTCTGTAAATTACATATATGGGCTCTGAACCTGTGTGGGACCTTTTGTTGGGAAGATTTTCCTAGCTAAAGTTATTTTGGTGGAAACCCTACTCCTTTCTCCTGCTAGTATATATAGAAGGGGCTCCTGCCATTTCCCCATTTCTTTTCCAACCACCATTTTGGGTGCCTCAGGTCTCTTCCTACCATTTTCTCTTGTTACCTCACAAGTACCTTCTAAATCTTCTACTGATCTCCTTATTTTATAACTTGTTCTATTCACTTACTCCTCATTTTTCAAAACCCACCCCTTTTTTTTCTAAACTTTTATCCAACAAAGTAACATTTGTCTCACAAAGCCAATAGAAATACTATTTTAGTTTGTATACAGATTCTCATTATGCATTTAATATGTTTCAATATGTCCACTAACTAAAACATTGTATTGGAGAGGTCTTTCATTTTTGGAGAACAATTAATTTTCCACATAAATTTATTTCTAGCTGTATCATGTATAATATTCCATTTTAAGTGGCAATGCCTGGTATTTTAAGTGCCACAGTTTATTGAAAACTACACATTATTCAGAAATGAGAGTGGCTTGGACTCTGAGGGAAAATTCCACTATAAATATAACCTTGTACATTTGTTCATTTTTGATTTAGCACAGGCTGTTTTTCTCCCTCATTACTTTTGGCACATGTAGGAGTATTTTTGTAAAGGATCTCAGCTTATAGAAGTCTCGTCTTTTTTGCTAGTCTAAAACACTAAAGCATCCACCCATATTCTTCTGATAGGTTGAAATGTTTTTGCCCTGTTACACTCTCAGCTTTTGTTGATGTGATTTTTAGAATCTTTGCTTTTCTTCTCAAATTTCCTTCTAGCAAGTTTAGTGGAAATAGTTCGTTAAATAATATCTTGGGGATAATTGTCAAATGTTTAGCAATCTATTGGATTTTATTTTAAACTATGGTTCCTGTTGTGCATGGATAAATATATGCTCCAGTTCTGACAGAGAGGTTACATTTCTCAATGTCCTAAATGGCTGTGTCCTAGAACAGTTGGTCATGGAGCCAACCGGGGGGGGGGGGGTGAGGGGAAATCCTGGATTTCATTGTAGCTCAGGTTGCCCATGACATAGTACGGGAATATGTTGCACCAATTGGAAACAGTTGAAGCCACCCATTTTTTACAGCACTGTCTGTGTGAGGACTCCCTGATTTTGTTCTCCATTTCAAGATCACCCAGGCATTCCAGTCTGGAAGATGAAAGCATATTCCTATGACTAAATTAGTTTTAGAGTTTGTGCCACCCACAGTGCTTCTGTTGAGAAGTCGGCACACTTTAGATCGGGGTCCTCAAACTTTTTCAATAGGGGGCCAGTTGAAAGGCGGCAGCGACTGGAGTGGGCCAGTGAGGTGGGGGTGCCTGGGCGCATGGGCTGGTGAGGCAGCGTCAGGCGCGCACAGTGGCAGCTTGCTCGCTTGGAGATCTCCCAGCAAGTCCAAAACCATCTCCGAGCGAGCAAGCCACCGCCTCCATGCCCATGCTGCTGGCTTACCACAACACTGCCACCACTTTCTGGAACCAGACTGGACACCACTGTTGAGCCTCCAGCTCCTTCCACCACTCTCCACACCTGTGCTCCTAGTGTAGCCTTCCCTGGCAGTGGGAGTATCCAGGGTTGGCGAACACAGTGGAGCATCTTGCAAGTGCAGCAGGACTTCCCCAGTGGGGACCTCTTTTTGCTGGCTAGGCCCAGGGTTGGCAGCTTTGGGCAGCCACTGAAGAACAGCTGCAAAAGGGCACTGCCCTTTTGGCAACTGTTCAGCACCAGTTTGGGCTGGGCTGGGCTGGGCTGGGCTGGGGCCAGGTTTTCTTTTTCTCTTAACATGTGTTATTTATTTATTTAGTAAGCTATGCCGCCCCATTCACCGAAGCCTCGGGGTGGCTGACAGGTTTATATGTTGAGGATTATATTCTGGCCTTGGAAGGAGTTGGGTTAGGGATACATTTGATTGGCAATGAGGTGGAACTGGGATAGAGCATACTTGTGGGTCAACTTCGACCAAATGTTGTAAGCCACAATAGTTTTTATGAGTGCCATATTTTTATCAACACTTGCTTTACCATTTTAATTGTGTTATTTTAATATGTTGCTGAGGGACTCTGGCAAGCAATGGGATGCTTCTATTAATCTGGTTATAGGTAGCAGAAAGTATGACACTGGAGATTAATAAGTCAACAAAGGAAATGAGGGGTTGGATGTCTTACTGCTATCCCCTCTTCTCATTCTTTCCCCAACCAGATCATAACAGGCAGTTGTATCAACCTGCCTTCAGGCTTGGTGCTGCTGCTGTTGAATGCCAGGTAGGCCAGAATAAAATATCCCTCATCTGTGACTTAATTGTGGATGAGGGGGCTGCATTATGGAAACCTGGGTTGGGGAGGAAGGCAGCATTATGCTTACCCAGCTGTGCTCACTCAAGTATTTGGTGTAGCATCAGCCTTGCCCTGGGAGCCATGGAAGAGGAGTGGATGTAGTCTTCAGGGAAACATCTCTCTAGGCTGCTTGTCCACTCTAAGACAGGTCTGGAGTGTTTGTTCTTTGTGTTGGGGTGAACAAGACAAAGATTCTGTTGTTGTACTGCCTACCCTGCTGCTCAGCAGACTCTCTGCTTGAGCTGACAGAGATAGTTTTGGATGTGGTGTTGAAAGCCTCCAGAATGGTGGATCTGGGGAATTTCAACTTCCACATTGAGACTGCTTTATCCAGGCTAGCTCAGGAGTTCATGGTGACCATGGCAACCTTGGAGCTGCCTTAGCATGCCATTGGCTCAGCACATGAAAAAGTTACTCTCTTGACCTGTTCTTTTTGACTGGACAGGAGGATGGTGATCTTGAAGTGAGGAGACTGACATTAATTCCTTCATCATGGTCAGATTTAGACTCTCAACCCCATTCTCCCTCTGTATGCTATTGAAATGGTCCACCTGCTGAGTCTGCTGGATCCAGATGAATTCCAAAGGGCTCTGAGGAAGTTGCCAGTTGATACAGCTGGTGCTGCTGTTGAAGCAGAGCATGTGCAGTGGCTTGGCGTATAAGCAAGTTGGAAAACAGCACAGGTGGAGAAAAACTCATGTTGACTCTGACCAAACATGTATTAGAGCTCATTATTGAGCCTATGTTGTGGTGGTGAAGGTGGCAAAGAAGAAATTCCTCTCTTCCAGCCTTGCATCCTCACAGTGTTGTCCAGCAGAGCTTTTCTAAGTGCAATCTGACACCAAGATAGACCTCCTTGGACCCTCGTTGGCCCACTGTGACAAGGTAAATCTAGGTAAAATCATTCAGATTCGCCACGAATTGGACTCCACAGTTAGTAGTGTTCCTGTAGCAGAGGTACCTGTCCAAACACAAAGATCATCTTCCAAGGTCCTTTCCTGGGAGTTCTCTTTGAAAGAACTTAGAAAAATGGATTCTTGGGGAGAAGGACCTTCTAACTGATAGTGTCCCAGCTATGGAATATGTTCCCCAGAGTAGTATGGCTGGTGCTAACTGTTTATTTACTTCGGCGCCAGGCCAGTATGTTTTTATTTGCTCAGCATTTAACTGTTAGAATGTATTTTCTATTTTTTGTGTGTGTGTAATATATAGTATATTGTGATTCAAGTTCTGTTGTGGATTTAGTTGTTTGGTTTTATTCTTTCTAAGTCATCTAGAGATCCTACAGTGGATATAGACAGAATACAGATGTTTAAAATATATATTTTGTGGCTGTCTTCATATTTTCCCTATATTGAATCTGGCAATATGATACTTGTTACTTGGGCCACTGATAAAATCTTTATTTCAGATGCTATATTTAGTTTTAAATTGCATATCACTTTGAGGTTCCTGATGGTCAGTAAGTGTTGTATAAATATTTTTAATAAATACAACTGCATTTTAAATGTCATAAGAAATTTCTGAAATCTACAGTTTCCTTTGTGCAGATATGATATTACTGAACTAGAGAAATAAAATAGTGCTTGGGAGAAAGTTTGGGGACCTCTAAGTGAATAAATGATAGGCTTACTGGTTATTCCTTTTCCTTACAGTACAGTATTTTTTCAGTCATAGCAAAAGAAAAGGAAATTATGTATAAACACATTTTAAATTCTGCACTAATTTAGTTCTAAATTGAAATATCTGTACTTGACAAAAAATAAGACACAATTAGAACTCTTAAACTGGAAAGAAAAGGAATCTTAGTGTCATTTCTGCTCCATTAAGTGTAATTACATTAATCTGGAAGAGTTGTAATTAGATTTCTCCTTTAATGCAGTTCTTCAGAACATATTCTGAAGTAATTGTCTACCCTTCATTGTGAAATGTTTATACAAACAAATACTTTTAATTAATATGATCATATATACAATACTTTTAAAGGGTTTTAAAATATAATTATTATTTGAGGATGCTGCCATGCAATGTTAGGAGTGTATTTCACTCTAGGGATAACTGGGTAGAATTTTCCTTGCTTGCATATTTTAATTTGCATTCTCCTTATCTTCTAGACTAACTGAGACCTTACCACTTTACAAGTTCAGTTTCAGGTGACCTCAGCTTCACCTGGAGCACCTGCAGGAACACTTTTAACACATAAATGTTTGGGTCCTTGTCATTCTAAAGTGCTACCTATGAGAATTCACATGTATAATTGCAGATCTAGAATCTTCTTAGGATACAACAACATTCCTGCAACATTAACACCATAAGAACACTCCTGGAACATACTGAAGAGCTATCTAGTCTAGCATGCTGATCTCACAGTGGCCATTAGGAGCTGATGGAAATTCCACAGCAAGACATAAGTGCAAAAAGCATTCTCCCATTCATGTTCTGCAGAATCTGATATTCCATAGTTCAATTAGTATTGTAGTGTTGGATTGAAAAAAGACAAATTGCTGTTTGCTTAATTTGTTTAGGAAGTTCTTACCCTGCTTTTTATTTGTAGATATTGAAAGTGATTCACAATTTAAATACAAAAAGGGTCATTACATTAAAAATAATGCTTGTGAGTAGCAAACTGGCATCATTAAAGCCAGGGTGCAGAGTGGAATGTTTGCATTCATTGCACTGTGTGATTGTAGAAGGATACATTGTTAGACGGCAGGGGTGTGTTAATTTGGTTCTGCACCACACTCCCAGCTACTCAGATGGTGAAATAGGTTGCTGTATTCTTCCATACGTTGGAGCTGGAGAAGGGAGCAATGGTTGTCATACCACTGTGGAATGAAACCATCCCTCTTCTGCTTCAGAGTCATGAGAAATGGTGAGTTCTGTCATGCTTTCCAAGGACAGCTACACGCTTCAGTTATGAATGGGTGTACACGGATTTGGAACCTCATGATTTTATGGTGATAACCCAGATAAGGAAACATCCAAGGCACTGTGACATGAGACTGCAGACTGAACAAGGGAATTGTGAGCTTCCTCTTCTTGTGTGCTTGGAGCAATGACGTTCTTCCTGTTTTAGCGAGGTATCAGTTGGGATGTAGTTTCAAATTACGATTTGCCAAAATTCAGCAAATGTGTGTGTAAGGGGAGAAGGGGACATGCATACCTGCAAATAAATGTAGACTTTTATTTATGTAGCAGCACCATACCATGCTTGAAATTTTGACTGAACCAAGCCTACATATTTCATGATTTAGGTAGGTTGTAAATGCCAGAGTCCCACAACTTCATTTGTTTCTACTAGTTGTTGTTGTTAGTCGCAAAGTCATGTCCAACCCATCGTGACCCCATGGACAACATTTCTCCAGGCCTTCCTGTCCTCCACCATCTCCCGGAGTCCAATTAAGCTCACAGCAACTGCTTCAGTGACTCCATCTAGCCACCTCATTCTCTGCCATTCCCTTCTTCCTTTGCCATCAATTGTCCCAGCATCAGGCTCTTCTCCAGGGAGTCCTTCCTTCTCATTAGGTGGCCAAAGTATTTTGAGTTTCATCTTCAGTATCTGGCCTTCTAAAGAGCAGGCAGGGTTGTTGTTATTGTTGTTGTTGTTGTTATTATTATTATTATTACATTTCTATGCCGCCCCTTGCCGAAACCTCGGGGCGGCTTACAACATGATAAAATACATTGAAATACAATAGTACATAATAAATTACCATTAAATACAAAAATACAAAAAATACATTGATTTACAAATATAAAATTAAAATTATCAGTATAAAATAAAAATATAGGAGGAGAAAGAGAAGGAAGAAGAAGTTGCCCTGGCCAGATCATATGATCTCTAGGACTGACCAGTTTGATCACCTTGCAGTCCAAGGGACTTGCAGGAGTCTCCTCCATCACCACAATTCAAAGGCCTCAATTCTTTTGCCACTCAGCCTTCCTTATTCACAGCCATGCATTGCAACTGGGAAAACCATTGCCTTGACTATGCGCACTTTTGTTGGCAGGGTGATGTCTTTGCTTCTATTAGTAGGACAATAGTAGGTAGCATTATGTTCAGTCATTTCATAAACATATAGGAATAGTCATGGTGATGTTTGAGATTTAATAGAGGCTGCACGTTATAGGAAAGTTCTCACAAAAGCAGAAAGGAAAGATTTGGTAGCTATTTTTCTAATTATCAACATTTAGGTTATGTTACTCAAATACGACTTGCACATCCACTCTTTTTCCACCCTTACCACCAAGCTTCTCCAGGGGTCTTACTTTTCTTGAATCCTGTAAAGCCCTTTTCTTAAATGCTTGGCAGCTGAAACTTGACACCTATTAAAAATACAGTTGCCATTTAACCCTTGTAGCAAGAGGGCCCTGGATAGAAAATGATTAAACTTGTAATAAGTTAGGCTGTTTGTACTTTTCAATACAAATAGTTCCTAATTTGCTGAAAGCACTGTAGTCATAATATTTTTTCATCAGCATTAGAATTGAACATAAAGAAGAGGTTTATTTTGCCTTTTTACTCCATTAACTTACAGTTTAGGCTGCGGCCATTTCTTGGAAATAGATCTGAACTTTAATTTTAAAGGAATATAACTTTGGAATATCTAGAATGTGTGTGTAAAATGAAACCTTGATTTCATTTTACTGTATTTTTGTTGGTTGCAATTGAAAAAGCTCTTCTTATGCAATATATTCTACATTTCCCAGAATGTAAACATTTAGAGCATGTCAACAAAACAGTAACTCCATCTCATAGGAAAATGAGGCTTATAAATCTAATCTTTCTTAAAGGAAGAAGTGAGGTACACATAATGATATAAGTGTTTTTTCCTTCTAGGATTTTTTGTGACATACTTTGGGGGACACTTAACAGTTAAGAATAAAACTGAGGAGCTGACATTAATGCTGTTCAGAACCAAATGCATAGATACAAACAGCACAGTCCAGTGAGGCGTCTTGTAATTCTCCAGAATTGGAGGATAACAGGCATCCTATACATGGCAGGAAGACTACACCTCTAGGCACATCCAGCCATGCAGAACACTTAAGAAGACAATTTTGGCTGTTTGATGTACAGTGGTACCTCAGCGCATGAATGCCTCAGTTCACAACCATGCTGGGTGAGAGATGGCCACAATCGCAGTCGCGCTCATGCAGGGAAGAACGGGCATGATTGCCATTGTGCTCGGGGGGGGGGGAGATGGCTGAGATCACGCCCATCTTTCCTGCATGAGCATGCCCATGATCACACCCGTCTTTCCTGCATGAGTGCAACCATGATCACGGCCATCTCCCACCCAGCACGATTGCACCCGTCTTCCACCCCCAGCACACCCACAATCGTGCCTGTCTCTCCCCCCCCCCCATGATTGCGCTTGTGCTTTGGGTGGGGCAGGGGAGATGGCTGCCCTCATGCTCTAGGTGGAGGGGAGATGGCCGTGCTCGTGCTCAGGGGGCTGGGGGGGTGGGGTGAGATGGCCGCAATCTTTGTTGTTCTTTGTCACTTTGCTTCACATTTTTCTGATTAAAAAAATAGTTACAGAATGTATTAACCTTATTTACATTGAACCTTAGGGGAAAATTTGACTTGGCTCACGACCAATTTGGGTCACAACCAGAGTCTGGAACGGATTAAGTTCGTGAGCCAAGGTACCACTGTATTTAGCCTCAGTGCAGAAAGGAATGAGTGTTAAGTGCTACTGGGATACTTTGTATGCTTGTGTAACTTGTTTCTTCTCCCTTCTTCCTTCCCTCTCCCTGTCCCAAAAACCCATCTCTGGGGTTTTGTAACTTTGGTGGTATAGCTGGTTTATAAGTGGGATAATGCACAGGTTTCACTGCATACTGTGGCAGTGTCAAGATAACATACAGTGGGCAATATC